TTGTAGAACAATGTGGTTTAATTCCTGTCCACGTCCAAAGGTTATTTTCTCATGTTGATGCGGGTGTGTAATTCCTGGTGACTTTAACCTAGGAACCGTATATTTAGTTCAGGGAGCTGTAAGAGACTTTTTTGCACCTGAAGCAAGATGGAGGTTGCCGTATTCACTCAAGCATGAAATCCTGGCTGAGAGATTAAGCCTCTTACACAGATCCCAGTGCCGTTAAATGCCAGCATGGACCGTGTAAGCCGCATCTCCGAGCGGAGGAGAGCTTCCTTTTGTTAGTTGTTCAAAATTAGGAGTGTAAACAGCTCTCACGGAGTAATTAGTCTGTGTTTGAATTGGGAGAAAGTGATAAAAACAATGACATGACAGAGCTCCTAGTGATGTCATGTGGCTGTGTCTTGCAGCCTAACAAAGCCATGTCTGCTCTGCTGGATGGATGGGGGCAAGGGATTTACAGGTGGCTGGTTTGGGTCACAGAGCAGAAGTCGCACGTGAGGAGGGGTCCCATTGCTGAAGGTCACCAGCAGCTCTTTGAAGAAAAACCCTCTTGCTCAGAGAATGAATGGCATTATTCGAAGTTTCGTGCTGAAAACTGCAATTTGTCGTAATTCCTCGATGTACACAAATGTCCTCCAGAAACCCAGGCTCACTGTCAGCAGAAATTCATGGGCACAGTGGTGTGAAAGTCTTCACCATTTCCTCTTTTTTTGGCCGTCTCCAACTTGCCTTAGTGAAGCTGTGGCTTTATGATCCCCACATACTCCGTCGCTGCCATCTTTGACAGCAGCTCAAGCAGAGCTGTTCCCAGCCATACTCAAGGCTGTTTGCTCCGGTCGGTGTCTTGCTAAACAGGTTTCTGTGGAAATTAAATAAATAAAATCTCCACCACTGGTGCTAATTGGTGCCTTTGGCAGCCTGAGCAGGAGCTTGTGAATTGAATGTGTCATGGAGAATTGAATGTGTCAACTCTCTCCCAATGGCTGGGACCTTGAGGTCTTTTTCTGGCACTAAATTTCCTTTGAAAAAAGAAAAAGGAGGGTTAAAAAATGGCGGGAGAAAACAAGCTGAAATGAGAGATCTTTTCCCTTTTCTTTAATGAGGTGTTGAAGTTGAGCATTGTATTGTGCACGCTGCAGCGTTTCCTCGTCAGGCACTGAGAAGAAGGGCTGGTTTCTGCCTTTGTTTCTCAGGCATCCCATTTGTTGCTGTTAGACACTGTGCAAGGTGGGGTGGCAGGTTTTCTTCAGTCTGTTCAAGCATCTGGCAGGATGGCCATGAAGTTGTTGCCGATGTCCTTAAGGGACTGTAAGGATCCACATGATTCATTCAGTATTTTTTCTAGGTTCAAAGAAGAAATGTCTTATGCTGTAGTAAATACAGTTCCAAGTAGAGCACAACCAGCTTAGCAAAATGCGGGAGATTTGCAGCTTTGGAGGCACTGGCTGGCAGCACAAACTCCTGTTCCTTTGGTCAAGAAGATACTAGCCCACATGGAGTTAAGCTGGGCTGTATTTCAGGCTGATGAAGATCGTCAGAACCATGTCTACAAACCAATTCACCTTTTAAGTTGTCCTGACTAGGAGAGGAGAAGGTTATCACTGTCAGACTTTGAGTTATTTGGATGTCAGAAAAGTTCAGTTGTGGTTCAAGCTGCTGTCAAATTTGTTGGTGATGAAGCCAAGATTGTGTGTGCAGGGGGGTAGAAAGAGAAGGATTTTTTTTCTTTTTTTTTCTTTTTTCTTAGTAGGAAATGTACTTTTTCTCTTCCAGTGGTGTCGGTGTCTTTGTCTTTCTTTGGCAATACTACATTTTGTTAGGGAAAATGGAGGAAGGAATAGTTTCCTAGTTGTCTTTCAGTAGGGGCCAGCTACCAGTTCTAAAGCACAGTTTAGCCCTGTCCTCTTATACAGACATCTCCCCTTCCAGTATTTCTGCAGAAAGAACAGAATTTGGTACTTTCTAATATGGGATGTAATGCTGAGCCAAAGGGATTTTCCACTGGAGGCACCTTCAAAGCCAGCCCGTTGGAGCTGCGGTGGTTTGCGTAACTTGGCAGCCAGCACCTCTGGAAAGTCCATAGGCTGAGCTACAGCGTCTACTTTGGGACCATGTGCACTTTGGCCTTTTCTGTTCTTCCGTGGCTTCTTGTATTCTTTTTTTAGTCCAGCTCTGACATCTTTAGCAGATAGCTTCAGAATCAGGTCTCCACAACTGATGCCCATGCCCTCCTCAAACCACGGCAAATCGTCCCTTATTTTGTTGTGCTTTTTTTAAAAAGATACGAGCAAAATGAGCCCAGAAAAAGATTTTATGCATGTGCATTTTCAGGTGTGTTGGTCTGTGAGCTTAGAAGTCTCCATTTTTGTCAGGGTTCGATGACCTGCCTGAAACATCTTCACGTTTCCCATTAAGCTGCTGTTTTCTCCCAGTCCTCATTCACAGAGCCATTTTTCTCTCCTGCACTATTACTTCCCAAAAATGACTAGTTAAAGGGTATTTCACAGTATATTCATCTTTCAAGTGCAGTTCTTTCAAGTAGTGCCAAGAATGATAAACCAATAGATTTCAAACTTCTCCTTATCAGAATAAACCCACTGAGCTGAAAGGTAAAAAGAAAGTCTTTGGACCTATGGTAAAGGACATCGCAGTTGCAAAGTCAGGACTGCTGCTTGATATTTTCCCTGCTGAATCCTCTCTCCTGGTTAAAAAGCTTTATATTAAAAAGCTAATAAACCAAATGAAGGAACGATAGAAAATAGACTGGAGCTGGCTGGCAGGATAGAAGAATGTCGCACCATTTTCTCAAAGTCACGCTGTTAAATGTCACGAGCTCGGATTTGTTTCCCATTTTCATTCCAGAGTAAAATAATTTAAATTGATAGCATTTTTCTGGTGGTATAGAAGATTCAGAAACACTCACAGGAAGCACAAACCTTAACAGGCCATGGCTGTCTGTAATACTCATACCTGCCAAATAATGTTTGGCTCACTGAAATAATTATAAAACTGTTTCTATTGTAAACTGTGAAATTTTAAGAAACCTGTTGGCAGTACAAAAAATGCTTCTCTCAGCTGCATTAAGTCTGCATTACCTGCCTGCCTGCGTACTGCATTGCCTGCAAGTGCTTTGCTGTGTTAGGGATAAGCTGCTGTATTCCAGCTGGGAACACATCATTACCTTGGCTTGTTATAAAGGTAATGGCCATTGCTGTCCCGGCTGCAGAGCAGCCCCAAGGGTCCACAGTGCAAGGTACAGCTTGAGCCGAGTGAAAGGCAGCAGAGGTGGTCTGAATCCAGCCCTGACTTCCAAGCTGTGCTATGGGCCACCTCCACATGGTTCCTCTAAAATATTTGCTAGCTGTATTCTCTCTCCTCTGCATGCTTTCTCCTGGCTCTTTTGCTGTTATGGGCATACTGTGAGGCTGAACAAAAGTGGGATTGGATGTTTCACCTTGGTCAATATTAGAGAGCTGAGGCAAGAAACATCTTTTCTCGCTGCCCAAAGGATTATTTTATCTGTGTCATCCTCCCAGGGAACACGAGGGCTCAAGAGCTGGGGTCTTTTCTATTTACTCTTTGGTTTTGACATTTGTCTGGAGTTGCAACAAATCTCTGATTAAGTGACTAGGATTGTTTTCTGATTCATCAGCAAGATCTGCATCATCTTGTTCGATATGAAGTAGGTTTTTACTTCAGTAGCAAGCATTACCCAGTAGCTAGTTTGGGGGTCTCTTCTTAATGTGACATCGCTCCAAAGCAGGGGCTGCCCATGTCCACAGGACAAAGGCTTCATTCATCCTCACCCCTACGGACAGAGTAGTCTCTAAGAGTGTTCCTACATCAATGATTTACTGTGCTGGGTGGGAGCTGTTTAAGAGCAAATTTTCCTTGTGTCTATACCTGCAGTCTTGTGTTGCACCCATAAATGTACAAGTGATGCTCTCAAAGTGGTTTCCCTCCTGCTGGAAGAAAAGTTGAAGTCACAAGCTGGGATACTGTGTAGAGCATCCCACCCAAAATGCAGATGTGAAGTCCTGCAGCACGCTCTCCACACGTGCCCTGTGCATGCCTAGGAGCAGACTGCATCACTGGGGGACTTTACAGATTGCAGCCAGTCAAACCCTGGTCCTTTTTCCTTTGTCACACGCCTGTCATGTTACAGCTCTTCCCTGAGGATCTACCTGTGAGCCTTGACCTCACCCTGGGGCTGGCGTCGAGCTGCCTGGGTTGCACGGGCTGCAGGAAGAGTTACTTTAAATGTTTGCAGTGAAGAAAGTGGCAACGACCCGGGTTTGGTCCCACAGACCACCCAATGGGATCATGCTGCCAAGGGGAAACCCATAGGATTAAGGCAACTAAAACTGCTGCTTTGCTGGAGGTTATAGATACTTGCAGGGTTAGCAGAGCCTCTCAGTGCTGTCAGCCATAAGCTGCCTCCACTGTTCCACCAGTGACAAATTCTCCTGTAGCTTATTTCACTTGGTTGCAACTGAGATGAGTGTCCTACATCCAGTCCTACCTGGTTTCAACTAGGGGGGAAACAAATAAATGTTAGATCTTATATATAGGGCTCTTTAAATAAGGTCCTGCTTTACCCTGGTTTCCTACCTCGGATGCA